GATCCCATTCGCTGTAACAAATATGCAGACTTTTACACTAACCTTGGAGCTCCCTCTGCAACAAATACCCGAAACGATCTTTTTTTATCCTTCGCGGCACATAGAAATTCCAGTACTGTTCTTGAACTACCTAAAGTTAATATAACCTCGCTGCAAAAGAAAAGCAGTTAGTAGCATGATTTAAATAACCACAATGAAACATCAATTAAAATCAACCACAAGCCACTCTAGCAAATATTCTCATTGAGGTCTCATTTTTTTCTCATGTTTTGCAATCTCCTATTTATCAAGATTTGCGATCTTTGCAATCTTTGCCCTGTCCAATTCTTTTCTGGAGAAATATGATATATTTTTTTACTTTTTGGTATGAAGAGAATGATGTGCTTACCAGAGAGTGTCACTGGAGTGCATAAGGTTCTGGGTTTCTAAGGGTTCAGGACTTCCGATATAGGCCTATATCCTAGATACTAATTCAAACCTAAAGATAAACACCAACTAAAGGAATAAAAATGTGCATGAATCAATAAGAAAGAGCCCTCGTGATGCAGAAATCTTTCCTCAGGAAAAGGTAGCTTAATTTCTCAAATAAATACAAACAAATGAAATACGACGTGACTGTGACTCAGTCGCAAGGGTGCTTGAAAGATCGATGGACAGATGGAAGCACGTTTGGCCCTAATTAATTTATGCTTAGTAGCTAAACTCGAAATTTTTTTCTACCGCTGCTATGTCGAACACCAAAGAGTTTATCTTAGCACCTCAACCATACTGAGCCTATAATAAAATCACCAAAAAGTCTAACCACCTCATATACGTGTTCGAAGTTAGAACAATAGCACATAGCAACCTCACGCAAAATCAAACTTAGCACCAGTTATTATATTTCATACGCATTTTTACATTGAAATTAAGCATATTATGACAGAAGGATGCTTTTCTAGTTGAAAGAAAAGATAAACTGTAACAGTGAGACAAACTTAATAGCTAAGGCTTGGGGTAAATACATACTTATGGTGAATGTGCTCTACTGCTTGCTCAGCAATCTGTTCATGGCAAGTGCCAATATCTTGTATAAGTTCATTGACTGCTTCAATAACATCATGCTTCAGCCTCCGACTTCTTGAACTTTTATCAGCAGCTATGAAAGAAAACATATATCTACAAGTCATATGGCTGTATAATCTGCCATTAAAAGGTACTAACTTCGATTCCACCACCACAAGCCAGACCACTAAAAAACTAATTTTTAATTGACTAATTTCCAAACACAAATACCACATTTATGATCAGAAATAGATATCAAATGTGTATATCCTATCCTTAAACCTTTTTTTTTTCTAATCTAAAGAGGAAAATGAAAGGTGTATCTAAAGAAGTTTCTCAATGATGCTAAGAATGAAAATCATACATTTGGTTTTTTCTTCAGAATCACCCCCAGATGATGAAGTGCGAGGAACAGCTGCTGCATCAGGTATGTCCAAGCAGCATTTGCAAAGATGGTGGACGCAGTGTGCTTCTTGCAGCAGCCGCAACAACAGCGGCAGATAGAACCGGATGGTTGTCACGGTCATCATCTTCATCATCACTAACAGTTGACATGTTCAACCCAGCCATAGCAGCAGTAGTGAGAGAAAGATCCTCCTCCCTAATAATGTGCAAAACACGGCTCACAATATTACCCACAGCAAGCTCTGCGATCATATGCGCAAAACATTATTATGAAAATCAAAAAAATAAGCCTCTACGTCCATATTATAAGAAAAAGATTTTGCAGTGTATCTTAAGATAAATATATCTAAATTCAAATGCATACATCATGTACCTTTGCTCTATATGCCTGGGAGATATAACACTTGTTTTCTTTGGTTAAAAGGAGATATCATTTTGTTTCGTAACACATGAGTATTAACTAAAGATACACAAACAAAAACGGCAACAGGCTAAAGTTTTGCATACACAATGAATTTTAGAAAATTTGATAATTAAACTTGGCTAACATAATCATTAGACTTAGCTAACATAAGTTATAGTTTCAATAGGATTGCAAGCAAATAAACAATTCACGTGCTTTGATCTAAAAATGTCCTTGACAACAAAAATTAAATGAAGACACGCACAGATGTGCACAATAACCTCCTTCATGCTTCTCTAAGGGGTACATTTCAAATATCTTTCTAAGAACAATTTGAGCAGCTAGTTCAACAGCCTGTCCAATTAACCGCTACTAAAATTCCCCTTTATGTGCTGAAAATGATCAAGTTATCCTCACTACTTATCTCTCAAATGAATCTATAAACTTTTATGTAAGTGCCACATAAGCTTCAATAAGGGTTGCCATGTCCCCTCCTTTTTTCTTTTAAACAACAAATAAGGACTTCATATTAACAAGGAAGGAGTAGGGGTTGCGTTTACGCAAAGCTAGGTGATTATATCTCAAACTTCGTTAAGGTTTATGGGTCATATACAGTAGGAGCGACAACATAACCTAGCTTTCCTTTCTCGTGCAAAGGTATTTTTTTGGTGGGGAGGGCATGGTAGGAGGCATATAGCTCCTATAGCAGAGCACTTAACCCCACACCCACGAGGAGTTTGACACTTGCCCTTGCAATTCTAGCCGTCCAAACTCCTTGAACAAAAAGGAGGACAGAATTTTTGTATCAAAGTATTTGCTTATCTAGAAAAGAGGTTACTATTGGCTTTTCTTCAGGGGACCCACGTGAAAGCTGAAGAAACATTATCTTCCACATTTCTCCTCCTAGGAAATAAAAGTTATTATACATATTGATTGACTGTAAACAGAGAGGAACTTCTCAGCTTTGGATGATTCACTACAAATTGGTCACCGTAATCAACTAACTATCCTTCTTTTTTTTTGAAATGAAAGAAGACTGTAAACCAACTATCCTTTTAACAGGATAATCTGTAGTACACTTATATATTTATGTAATTTGACTATATTCTTCAAAGTCAAATGAGTACTCTATCAAAAGTACCAACTACAGCAACACAAAAAGTAAAAATATAACACTATCAACCCTGATACTCACTACTACCCACTGCATTTATGCTACTTAAAAAGAAGACAGTCTGTTATTATATCTGCATTTGAAACTTGATAAAATATAAATTCTAAGTCTACCCATATCACTAACAAAGATAAAGTCCAATTTGAAAGGCGACAAAAACATGGTCGCAAAAGTACTTGAAGTTCATATTACTACAATTTGAAAGCTATATAATTCCTCCAAAATGACTACCACAAAGAACAAATTTTTTAAACAGTAACAAGTCATTGAGATGAGATGTCCATCCACAGCCCCGTGTCTTTTCAGACATTACAGACAAAGATGTCCAAGTAACATAAATAACCTTTGTACTAATGGCAAAATTTCCTCATTAAAAATAGCAACATTGAACCATCTTTCAAAACACCTACCAACAGGATTTGCAGCAATCAGCTGCTCCCCAACAGCCTTCACAGCATCAATCAATGCTCCAGCTTGATTTGTGTAGGGCACCCGCTGCGCTGAAATTACCGACCGAATTAATTCAGCCGTCTGTTTTGCGGTGGCCAGCGAGCCCTCAATTTTACTGCAACAACAAAATATTCGCAATCAAATTATGAATTATGAAAGATGCCTATTAACCAGTATAGTCTCTTGAGCACGCAGCTTGTGCCAGTATAGTCTATCAAAGTGCGCCGAAGAACAACTAACCGCTTTTTAAGCTTAATAAGGAAATCATTCACAAGGGAATGCACGTCTGGCATGGCTATCACCAAATTTAACCTGCAAATGTTCAAAGATATAAACTTCAAATCATTACATTCAAACAGAACCCTTATTATCCGTCGTCTAGGGCAACCAAACAAAACCCAACAAAGCTCCTCAAATTACAAATGGGAGCTATTTTTTTAGGTGATTTGTTGGTTTTTATTTGGAAGCCAAATCAGCTGGGAATTTGAGAAAAATGAAAAACCCAAAGCTAATTAAATCCAAAAACAACAATCCACAATGAAAGTGAAAAACTTGGGGAGCTGAAATACCAAAAACCCACCTAATTCAAAACCTAAGCAAAACCCTCAATTAAACCCCAACTACAAACCTGAATTAAACTCCAAATTAAACTATTAATAAAACCCAAATTAATTCATCAATCAGGAAAGATAAAAATACAAAAGGGGGTTTAAGAGGTGTACCTGGAGTGAGTGAGTGGGCGAGTGATGCTGCCACTGTGAGAGGCTGAGAAGAACAAGGGGATGGGTTCGAAGAAGATGAGGCCGAGAAGAAGGTGAGTTTGCGGAATCGGAGACGGAGGAGAGTGAAGAGAGAACACGCAGAAGCTGAGAGGGAGAGGGAGACGAGAGAGAGGGACCCCAGAGAGAGAACTATGGATTGGGTGGTGGGGACAGATTTGGGCTACTGTTGGGCCCTGTTGGGTAGTGATGGGCTGTATGAGGTTATTGGGCTACATGGTATAAAACCAAAATTACGACATCATTGATCTGACCAGGAATCGATTTCTAATTCGGTTGATTTTTTAAGAAGTTAATCTTTAAAGATGATTTAGAGTCACTTAGTAGTATGGTCCAGTGATATTCTTTTCACTTATAAGTGAGAAGTTTTAGGTTCGATTCTCGCCAATTTGACCCACATTATTGCTAGTTCATTGTGAGGTTAAGTCAACATCTTCCTTAGTATAGATAATATCGTTTGTTAAAAAAATAATTTAGAAAATTGACGGTTTTGACTATTAAACACCATTATACACTCGTAAAATGAAATGATAAAGTACATGGAAAGATCATTACACACCATTATACGACTTAGTCCAACCATTTTAGATGCCAACAGTAAAGTAGAAACATAACTAAAATAAAAAATGATACTATAAAAAAATTCGGGTGCTCCGGATTACTAGGTATTTCGGGCGCTTTAACAGTCGTATATATCTTAATTTTTGTGTTACGGTTAAAACATTCAAAATATTAAGGAGTCAGAAGCATCCAAGAAAGTCCCATGATCCACATCCTCCTTCCTTGTAAATAGGAGTCATGCCGTCATTGTGTCTTAACAAAATATACCGTAATTTCACTGCAACCTAAAAAAGGGAAAAAGTTTATGAGGGAGGAAGCATGACATCAAACATTCATATTCTCTCTTTTTCTTGTAACATATTCTGATTCTCTGAAGAAGAAGAAGACCAATCAAAATTGAAATCCCACTTCACCATTTTCCTCTTTCTGATCGACTCTCAAGTCTTAATCTTTATGTTCATAATTTTGTTTTAGAGAGAGAGAGAGAGAGAGAGAATGGGGGTGGATTATTACAGTGTATTGAAGGTGAACAAGAATGCTACAGAAGATGATATAAAGAAGGCGTATAGGAAGCTGGCCATGAAATGGCACCCGGACAAGAACCCTAATGACAAAAAAGAAGCAGAAGCCAGATTCAAGCAGATCTCTGAGGCTTATGAGGCGTGCATGCATTTCTCTCTCTCTCTTTTCTCTCTCTTTTTCTCTTACACATTTACTTAATTATATCTATAATTTTGTTAGGGAAGAGACGTATGTTCTTTATTATTGTCAATATGTCATCAATAATGTGTTGATATTGTATCCAGCAACACAATTTATCGATAACATATATATCAGATACATTGTTTGACAATATCGATTCAGGCACTCAGAAACTTCTGTGTTTCTGTGTGCATCTTCTTTCCCTTTCTCAACAACTCTGAATTTACAACCAAATATATGGGGCCATGAGCCTAGATTGTGCTTAGTTAGATTGCACTTATAAATTAAAGGCAGTGGTTTTCACGCACAATTTTTCCGTTCTTACGCATCCCGGTTTATTTATTTCTAGCATTCATATTGAATAAAGTAGAAAATAATCTAAGGGCATCAATAAACAAGAGAACGAAGAAGGAGAAAAAAGATGTGCAGAAATTAAATGGCTCTCTCTGGATAGTATCTCACAGTCTGTGCTCCTTCATTTATATACGCAAGCAGTTAAGATTCAGGTTTGTTCTAGCTAGTAGTGTGAATAAAATAACGTAAGGGTTTTGTGAATCCAGGTGTTGAGTGATCCTCAGAAAAGACAAGTTTATGATCAGGATGGTGAAGAAGGTTTGAAAGATATCCCACCACCTGGAAGTGGTGGATTCTCATATGGAGGTGGATCCAAGGGATTTAATCCTAGGAACGCGGAGGACATTTTTGCAGAATTCTTCGGAAGTAGTCCTTTCGGATTTGGATCATCAGGACCTGGGAAATCCATGAGGTTTTCATCCGATGGAGGGGGGACGTTCGGGGCATTTGGTGGCGGTGGTGAAAATATTTTTCGATCATATAGTGAAGGTGTCACGCCAAAGAAACCACAAGCAGTTGAGAGCAAATTGCCATGCAGCCTTGAGGAGCTGTATTCTGGATCAACGAGGAAGATGAAGATATCAAGGAGTGTGATTGATGCAAATGGGTAACCATTTTTAACACTCTCCCTATTTCTTTCTTTATTGATTCATTGCTTGCTAGAGGTCGCACTTGGTGTGATGGCAAGTGCCTTCGCCCATGAGCGGTAGGTCTCGGGTTCGAGACTTGGGAGCAGCCTCTCCATAAAATGGGGGTAAGGCTAGCCGACATTCACCTCTTCCAGACTCTACGTAAAGCGGGAGCCTTGTGCACTGGGTGCGACCTTTTTTTATTGATTCATTGCTTGCTAGTTGAACATGTATTGATTTCGCCAACTGATACTGTTTCGTTCACCGTCGTTCATTGTAAACGATGATATAAAATAGTCATTATGCGCTCTTTCCTCTCCCCCGTTAACTTTTTCATTAAGAAAGGATTGGAGTACAACTATTTTTGAGTGTCAATAACAGCTTCAAGTATATATAAATATCTACGTAATATCAGCTGACTTATTTTGCTTTGCAGACGCCAAGTGACGGAACAAGAAATATTGACGATTGATGTGAAGCCAGGATGGAAGAAGGGAACCAAGATTACATTCCCAGATAAAGGAAACGAGCAGCTAGGTCACCTGCCGGCAGACCTTGTCTTTGTGATCGATGAGAAACCACACAGCACTTACAAGAGAGATGGCAATGACCTCATTGTGAACAAAAAGGTGACATTGGCCGACGCATTGGGCGGAACCACGGTGAACTTAACCACGCTTGATGGTCGTGATTTATCAATTCCGGTGACTGACATTGTGAACCCGGGCTACGAGCTTGTCGTTGCCAGGGAAGGTATGCCAATAGCAAAGGAGCGTGGGATAGGGGTGATTTGAAGATCATATTTGAGATCAGGTTCCCTACAAGACTGACCCCAGACCAAAGAGCTGGACTTAAACGAACATTGGCAGGTTGAAGAGTCATATATGTTGACCTATGTTCCATTGTAGATTGCCCAACAGTTTTAGAGAGTCACATACAATACAAGTCTAATCTGCACTTTTTGTGTAGTGTGTATGATATGTTTGTACAAACACTGACTCCTTACATATAAAGAGTCATTTTACGATCGTTAACTGCAAATTACAGTCTAACACTAATGCAAAAACAACTCGTTAAATTTACAGAAATAAAAATTTATGCACACATGTCAAACTGTGATTTGTTTGTCGATTATGTATTTTCTCAATATAGTAGTGAACAATACTACTCCATTCGTTGAGGTATATGGTTCTATGATTAGTCACTGATTGATTTTTTGATTTGAGGTTAAACTTAATTACCATGATAAACCCATCAAGATTTTTAACTTTTTATCCATGCAGAATCTTAGCATATTAACTAGCTCCAATCATCATTAACAGAATCAACCAGGAGAAGAGGGCTTTTTTGGGTAAAAAACAAGAAAAAAAGGGTTGCTAAATTTCAGACGGTCACACCCTCAAAGGTTGAGTGAGTTAATCTCTTTTTCTTTTTGTCGACAAAGTTTAATGATTGTTTGGTGTGAATGATTTGCAATTTGAAACAAAAAAGGGTTTGAGAAAAACTTGTTTATATACTTTGGGAATTAAGACGAGAACAGTGGGCGGGACCCACTCGCTTCCGGCTTTCGACTTCGATAATTGACCTTTCCACTTTTGTATTTTTTTCTCTCTCCTCTCCCTCCCTCTCTCTCTCTCTCTCTCCCCCTCTCCTAAAAGCCACGCTCCTCCGGTCCTCCCCATCCCCCTTTCTCTCTCTCTCTCAAGCGGCTTTAATTTGAAATTCTTCGAGTTCGCAAACGCGCATTTCCTCGTCTCCCTTTAATATATTACTGCAGCCTGCAGCGGACAATTCTCCATAGTCGGCCACCTACCAAACTTCTCCTTCTCTCTCTCTCTCTCCTTTCTTTCTCTCTCTGCAATGGGCGTTTGATTCAACTATACGCCATCTCAAAGGTATAAATTTTTCATTTTTCCAGCTTAAATTTGTTGGGTTTTATCTATATTGAGTTTTCTCTAATGGGTTTTTCAATTTTTGGTGGCCCATTTGAAATTTATGGAATATAAGGCCGAATATTTTGATATTATAGATCTGTCTGTGGAATTGACTTTGAATTTCAATGTGGGCATGCGATCTTAGAGTCTGATTGTATCATTTCGACGAACCCTTCTTAAGTTCTTTGTTTCTGTTCCGATCTGCATTGATAGTTTAGTTTTTTGAATTCGTTTCACGTTTTTTGCGAATTTTGAAGTTTTGGGATTTTGAATCCTGACGGTTTGTTGAAATTCAGAGACTTACTGTACATTTCCTCCAAAATTTGATTTTTGAAAGTTTGAATGTATTCAAAATTCTGATAACTGGGAGGTATGATAGGTTCTTGTTTTTTGAATCCTAAAAGTAATACATAATTGTTATGGAGTTTTCTCACTTTTGTTTAAAAAAATAGGCGGCCAGTCCTGCTCTGTTCCCTCACTTTGTTAAATACACCGAAAGTATAGTGTTATTCGTTTTATGGGAAATGCAATTTACTTCTCCCCTGTCCTTCTCATGCCATTTGAGCCAAAGATGATGGATAACCTTTGTCTTGTAGTGTGCTACAAAATAAGGGTTAGTTTGAAGCTTAAAGATTGTCTTAGAAAATAAGAAGTCATGTTTTGATTATAAATTGACTTAGAATATAATGATGGCAAGTTTTGATAGCGTGTTGACAGAGTTTGAAAAGAAAACCAGATACTCTGATGCTAAAAAAGTTTTTGCTTTTAAGGACATATGCGGTACTTCTCTCTACTTGTGGTTATCCTTAATAAAATAGATATGGTTAGAAAGCTTTGCCCTTCTCTAGATTGGAGCCCTTAGAATTTGGTGCGTGAATTAAACATGGTGTTTCCTACAATAAGTAGCTGTATGTTCGGCTCAGATAAGTAGTTGTGTGTTTCCTATCAAAACATGCCTTTACCTATATATTGAGCTTCTTTTATGTGTTCGGCTCAGATTAGTAGCTGTGTGTGCCAGCATGGCATCTAGTAGTCCATTTTTTGATGACATCCGGACCAAATCTGAGGTAGTTGATTCTCCACAAAGTGAAGACATGCTGGATGTTGGAGAAAGTGTCAATGATGCTACTTTAAAGACCCTAAAACCTAATGTGATGGTTTCTAGTAATGTCCGTGAGCTGCTGGAGTGCCCTGTGTGCTTAAATGCTATGTACCCCCCAATTCATCAGGTTTGATTACTTATTAATTTTGCTTTATCAAATGAAGTCAAACGCACTCCCTTAGTTTTCATTCCAGTAATTGTTCTACGTACTAATTGGAGATACTATAACCGAAGCTAACGTACTTGCTCCCTTAACTCTTGCCTATGCTAATAATTCATTCTTTTAAAGTGGTGTGAGGTTTTGACTTGTTTAATATAGTTTTGTGGGAGGGGTTCTGTTGGGAAACTGGTAGACGAGGTGCTATTGTCTGCAAACTTGCAGATGGGTTTCTGTTGTGCCATTATTTGCTTCATTCATTACTAACTCTTGCCAATTGCTTTTTGTTGTGCTTTTGATTATTGAGTTGGATTTTGTTTCTCCCCTCTAATCTTTACTGTCTTGGCACATGTCAGTATTTAAGCAATAAGATATCAGAAGACCAGAATTTAAGCTGAAAAAGGAATTATGTATCTTGGTCTATTTGAAGTCCTTTGTTTGATGTAAATTTGTTTTCTTTCTTTCTAAAACCATTTCCTTTTGAAAGTTCGAATTTATTTATTCACGTGACTTGGGGTTTTTTTTTTTTTTTTTCCAATTTTGTTAGATATTTATTAAGAAAAAAATGTAGCACTTTTTACTAGAGAAGAAAAAGGAACTAAGGGCCAAGGCCTTGGTATGGAAGGCAGTATACAAGAACAGAACTGCTTTCTGTGCATTTAGTCCTCCGTCTCCCATTAGATATTTTCTTTCAATAATGTCTACTTTTGGCAATGTCAGATAAACTTCCATGCATTGTTATATGTTTGATTGTCGTTATGGTAAGTTTAGGCATTGTGGGCTGTTAAGTTTTTCCAGCTTTTCATTTTGTTTACTTTGTGGTTCATGCTTGGAAAAAGGGGTATCTTACTAGAAACCGTTCTACAACATTGCAGTTTTAATGCTGTTTGGACTTTTCTGACTACTTTGCTTCCGGAAGCTTCTGGACACATACTATTTTTGGAAAGTAGAATCAGATACTGTTTTCTTAAAAGTCAATTACCTGGAATTTCTTATTCCTTTAGGCTAGAGGATGCCTTCTTTGAGAAGTGAAAAGTTATGGTTCTTTTGGATATTTTTGTATTTAATGATAGAGGTCATTTTTGCTCACCACTTCAATGTTTGCTATTGGATGAATCTGGCTCAAAAATAAAATTGATCTAATGGTAAATAATGGTGGTGAGCAAATATATTATCAAAAATAATGATAAGCGTTCAGTCTTAGAAATTGCATTAGTCGAACAGGTCACTTGGTCAACAACTTTTCCGTACCCGTTCACTTGCATCACATACACAAGTGCTACTCAATGATATTGGAAAAATGGTAGCATAATGTAACAACTAGTGTTGAAAGAAGTTGAGGAAGTGGATGTGTGCGATGTTTAAATTAGATGCCTTTTGTTACTTAATTGGCCTTCTACCTATTTGCAGTGTTCAAATGGTCACACATTATGTTCCGCTTGCAAACCAAGGGTTCACAACCGATGCCCCACTTGCCGGCATGAACTTGGTAATATCAGGTGTCTTGCATTGGAGAAGGTGGCTGCTTCTCTTGAACTTCCATGTAAATACCAGAATTTTGGTTGCATGGGCATATACCCTTATTACAGCAAGCTAAAGCATGAATCTCAGTGTCTCCATAGACCCTACAACTGCCCCTATGCTGGTTCTGAATGCACCGTCGTTGGAGATATTCCTTATCTTGTTGCCCATTTAAAAGATGATCACAAAGTTGACATGCACAATGGCAGCACTTTCAACCATCGCTATGTAAAATCAAATCCACAAGAAGTTGAAAATGCTACTTGGATGCTAACGGTATTATTTCACTTTTTCCTTATTCTTTATTCGCTTTTTCCTTATTCTTACTGTTCTCCTTTATCCTTCTTCGCTCCCCTCTTACATTTTATTTTTTTTAGCCAGCTCAAAACCATTTAGTGTAAAAGCTTTGATGAGTAACACCTACACTGGAAAACAAAGAGTGAGAAAGCTGTAAGTGACACAAACGAAGCATGATTAGACGTTTGCTATCCTTTCCAATGTGCAGGTTTTTAGTTGCTTCAATCAGTACTTTTGCCTACATTTTGAAGCTTTCCAGCTCGGAATGGCTCCTGTCTACATAGCATTCTTGCGGTTCATGGGTGATGATAATGAGGCCAAGAACTACAGCTACAGTCTAGAAGTGGGCGGGAATGGGAGGAAGATGATATGGCAGGGGGTGCCCCGTAGCATTAGGGATAGCCACCGGAAGGTTCGTGACAGTTTTGATGGTCTCATTATTCAACGCAATATGGCTCTCTTCTCTCAGGGGTAGACCGGAAGGAATTGAAGCTTAGGGTGACCGGAAGGATATGGAAGGAACAGTGATAGCGATCTGTCACGTTGAACTCTTTCGTTCGATCTTCTTATGTAGTTAGTAGGTCAGTAGGTCAGTCGCATTTCGTGGTTATGAGTCTCTTGTGGCCATGTAATTTTGGGAATTTTAGGAAGCAAACTCTCATTGCTTGTTCATGCTTTAATTGCGTGAATGGGAAGGCACTCTTATAAAAAAAAGGTCGTACCAGTGCACAAGGTTCCCGCTTTACGCAGGGTCTGGGAGAGGTGAATGTCGGCTAGCCTTACCCTCATTTATGGAGAGGCTGTTCCCAATTCTCGAACCCGAGACCTACCGCTCATGGGCGAAGGCACTTGCTATCGCACCAAGTGCGACCTCTTATAAAATTTAAAATATGGTCTATACAGATTTAGATTGTTTATGGCATGCCGCAAATGGCACCTTCTTTTTATAGTTGATACCGTTGACACATTTAACGGCATACGAATGTGACTTGGTAAAATCTCACTAATATGACATATTGTCCAATATCTTAGTCGATAGATCTATATATATATATAGGAATTGCTTAAGGGGAGAGGGATCCCCATTTTTTCAAAAAAATGGAGACACGCTCCCCACCGTTAGATTGACTTTAATGAAATTGTGTGGTTGAGATTAAAACACAGGCCATAGAATCTCAACCACAGGATTTCATTTAATTCAAATCCAACGGTGGAGAGCGTATCCCCATTTTTTTGAAAAAATGGGGATCCCTCCCCTTAAGCAATTCCTATATATATATATATATATATCACTAACGAAGTAGAACTCGATAAATCAATCTAGCACTCCTCTCATCTGAAAAAGTCTGCTATACGCAAGTAATAACCTCCCTAATAAAATTTGTGTTATCCCATAATTATGACTATATAGATATTTTATTGTACATATAATGTGTATATACAGTTAATTGCACACTTATGGTATCTTTCTTTAAGAAATTTATAGATATGGTAATGGGGAGTTGAATTTAGGGGAGGCATCGGATTCCTTTCCTTTGGGGCACGTGATAAATGATGCACGAAATTTTCTTCGATCATTCCGACTGTTTAAACTTTCACACGTTCGCAGGGAAGGCAACAAGGTGGCGTGTCGGCTGGTGTGGTGTGGGTTAGTCTTGGTTCAACAAGTCTGATGGTTTGAGGAATTCGGATGTATTCAATTTTTTACTTATCGAAGATGGTAATTTTATGTAATGTTAGTTGTTAGATGATTTTTTTTCTTTCTTAAATCGGATTAAAATTTCCAATACAATTTTTATCGAGATCCATTGTTGTACACTCTATCATTTGTCATGTACGTGTATTAGATTTAATGATTTAATGAATATCGTATTAAAAAAAAAGAAAACCAATGAAAAGGGTTTGAAAACTTTAAATTTTAATGATAATGACAAAATAAAGGGTAAAGTGAATAGTATCAAATTTGATTTTTTAATGTAAAAATATAGTTTTCGTTAAAGTAAACATTACCGCAGACTTTTCGTTAAAACTTCTTAAAAAAAAATCATATGTATTAAAAAAATAAAAATAGAGAAGTAACACGATTTGGAAGTGGGTGGTGATGATTACCTTGCGTTGGGTAAGGGGTTGAGAAAAAAGAGAGAGGGTCTGCCAGATCTTTTTGTGAGGATTCGGAAATTCTTTAATTATATCGGTTCATTGTATATCGTATATTATACGATCAATTTTTATCAAGTATTGTTTATATTTAATTTTAAATAAACAAATTAAAATAATTTATGTAATGAAAGAATGTAATTTGAGAATCGTCGAAAATCTCACTCGAGAAAAAACGCACCCATACATACAACTACACGTGCGGCGTCATCTTATTGGATGCAGAATGTCTCTTCAATCTAGTTATCCGGCACTACACAGTACACACTACACCGGATCACTTCTCAAGATTGAAGAAGTTTCTAACCCTCTTTCTCCATTGATTTAGCTCCTCCTCCTACTCCAACCATCTCTCGTCTCCCACGCCACCATCTCCACCTGAGCGCCAACCGGCGCTACTACTCACCGCGCCATCTTTCTACTGTAAGTCCTTTCAATTTCTTTTCTTTTTTATATGTAGATTTTCCAGAGTTGAAATGTGAGTCCAGTTCCATTATTCAATTGATGGGGTTTCTCTTAATTCATGTAAAGAAACAATTTTTATGTGAATTTATTGCATTCCGATTACGGATTAGTAAACGAACCAGTGGATGGATTACTATCATTGGTAAATGGTTCCTTTCGATCATGGTATAAAATATCGATAATATCGAAAATATCGGTAGTTTAAAAATATGAAAATTTCGATGGAAATATTGGAATATTATTGATATCGATAAAAATTAAATAAAAACCACGGAAATTGTAAAAAAATTTGGAAATTTTTATTGAAACTTTGGAGAATGTTTATTTAGTCAATTATCTATTAGTTTATAAAAAAAAAAATAGAAGAAAATGCATTACATGATGAATTTAACTTATTTAAGTTGATTATACAGCGAGCTGGCAAACACTGTAAGTGTAGAAAATATATAGTAATTAATGAAAAAAAGATTAAACACACCATAATCATTTATATATAATGATTTACTACAATAGTTTACACTTTATACATTGCATGGTAAGATACATGAGTGATTTAGTACCACATAAAGTTCCTATGAGGTTCAAATTTTTCACTATCTTCATCATCTCCATGTGTAGAGTAAGTTTATTGTGAAGAGTATTCATCAAATGATAAATCTCCAAAATAGTTTTGCATGTAATTGTTAACATGTCACTCATATAAATATAAATATTTTAGCATATTATCACTAAAACATAAGTGATATATCGTGGTTAAGGTGTTGGAGGAGTAAAATTGGAGGGGTTCAAATCCCCTTTGTGTATTTTTTTCCTCCATTTTTTCCCTTTTTCCCTTTTTTTCTTCCTTTTCCTTTTTTTTTTCCTTCCTTTACATCGATATTTTTGATATTTTAGCGATATTACACCGATATTCGATATTTTCCGATATTATTGTCGATAGTTGTTTTTTCCTTCCTTTACATCGATATTTTTGATATTTTAGCGATATTACACCGATATTCGATATTTTCCGATATTATTGTCGATAGTTGTACGATATTACATGGATATGTTCCGAAATATCTGTGATTCGAAAAAACCGAAATATCCTCGATATTTCGTCGATATTATCGATATTTCAGACTATGCTTTCGACAGACAAGTGGGATTTTAGAGAATTGTGGAGTTATCCAATCTTATAGCAAGATTGTGACCACGTTTTTTTGTGGTAACGATTTTTCAGATGGAATCTATCAACATGGAGATAGGTACCGTGCGGTAAGAATTCTCAACTTTTATAGATAAATTCAGTTGGTCCTCCATGTACTAGTTGAAAAATCACTAAACAAACACTGTTTTACCTATAGATGATTTGCATTGACGCTTATCGGAAACATTGATTCTGCATGATCTGCTCTTGCACTATCAATCTACTTAACAGTGATGACAGTAATAACCAATCTCCATTAATTCATGGCAATGATCGTGTCGTTAAGCATTTACGAATTTCATTCTCTTATCATCATAATCTCGACAGGTGTTGCCTTGACAAACAAGTCCTGTGTTTATCAAGAAAAAGGTTGAGAAAATTGGATTGGAGAAATATCCGCCCACTTCCACATAGTGTAACTACTTGGAAACTAAAGTTGGGTTATCAGAGGCTGATAGGTTCTGAAGTTTCTACTGGGAAGCATCCCTTGAACCATGTCTTCTGGAGAATACATTCAATTCCCACTGGTTCGGAGGAATCATCATCAGTACATGCAGAAATCTATAGCGGAAATGATGAACATGCAACTGAAGATTCGCAGGAGGAGCCTCTTCCTCAACCTTTAAGAAGTAATGAGGTAACCCATGCCACTAATTTGTTTAACATTGTAAATTGGGCGGTAAATGGAAAAGTCACCACCCTTAAATTCCATATTTATAATTTTCATGGTCCAAAGTCCAAACCCATATTTTTTGTTCAACTGATTAGTGAAATTATTTTTGTAGCATAGTTAACTGATAATATCTGCATTGGATATCTACTATCGCAAATTTGCAATGGGGTTTTTATTTTTATTTTATTGATTTTTTTGTCACAAATGCTGGACAGCATTCCAAATTTATGAATTTCCTTTTCTAGTTGTTTAGCATTCCTGGCTACTTGTGGTTCATACTTTAAATCCTTCGGTCGCTCAGTGAAAGTAAATGAAAATAGAGAGCTTTCTTCTAAAGGAAAAATGGTTAGATTGTTCTGGAAAATACCACCACATGATTGAAAAAGTGTTAACTCCAATATCTGCCTTGATTCTGATCGTTCTAAACTATATGGTAATTGCCCCACACGTGAGTGTTAAGGCCGGAAAGGTATAAAAGGATTTTTAATAGTATTAGAGGGAAGGTTGGGGAAAAGTAAGGTCTTGGACTTAACTTTGGGCATGGGTTTGTTTGGCATTTCCAGAAATATATTAGATATCAAGACTAACTTATCTTAAAACTCTATATCAGTTGAAGTCACTGCTAGCTGATTCTGAAAGAACAAAGCTCGTCAAAAAACTAAGTGAGGCCAATCAACAAAATCGGTTCCTCAAACGACAGGTTTGCATGTATCTTGTAGCAATGTCCTTTGTATAAATTGATAGCTAATTCAACATGTCATTGAAATTCATCTTCATCATTTTATGAGAGTGGCCATGTTTTATGTTCTTGTCATCTTTGCTGGTATCCTCATTGATTTGACTGGATTGTTATGCACTTAGTAATGCATTGTAGCAGCAGTATACATGTTAATTCAACCGAAGAGTAAAGATTCTATCACACAACAGGAAACTGGATTGATACATTGTTGAGTCCAGCTTTTCAATGATACTGCCTGGCTATCAGTAAATGCTCCATTTAAATAAATAAAAACCATATAACAGGAGGAAAATAAATCATAACTGAGTCTGAGAGATGAAGCATTAATTTGAAAATAGGGTGGTTGGCGATGGCATGTTTAGCATATGAGTAATAACAAATTTATACAGATATAAAGGTTCATGTATTCACAGTCTCATTTTAAACTTGAAGGGAGTTGAATATACGGAAAGTTAAAGATGCGCCCACCACTTTCATCATTTGAGTTATGAGAAAAATGTGAGAAAATTTATTGCATGAATTTTTGGTTTGAATTATTTATTTTACATGAGAGCTATTGTCTTAAGTTAAATGAGAAAACTAACACGCATTCAATTATAATTCATGGATGCTGTTAAACGGAGACATCTTGGATGTGTATAAGGTTACTTGATTTGAATCATACATCTCTTCGGTCTGTCAGTCTAGATAGTTCTATCATGTGTAATAGATTTGTCATCTGATTTTGATTTGTTACTTACACAGTTGCATATAAAGGAGGATGCGTTGGTTAACTTCAAAAGTGACTCGCCGTCTTGGAACTTGAAATTCAGGTTACATATTTTACTAGTGGGTTGTTGTCTGCACGTCTTGCATGAACACATGTCAACACTTGTGACTTATTAAGTCCCTGTAGATCAGCATTTTTTATCACACGGAGTAATCTTTTTTTTCGTGTTTGGCCTCTTCAACATTCTACAAATCTTTTTTGTAGTATAAAAGTGGTTGTAGATCGAGCACTATTAGGAAAAAGCAAGTAATTCCAGTCCCGGTTTTGATATGTTGTTGGAGTCATATCTGCTGCCAAAATGCATTTAGTTAGATGTTTATAGTTGCTTGGTTTCAAAGGCCATCTTGATTGAATTCTGTTAAAATAAATTAATCATTAAGAATTTCAAACATCAAACCATAGGATCTATATATTATAGACGTTGAACTTTTACGACAACCGTGTTACTATTAACGTACCCACCAGCACCATTTGAACATTGTGTTATCATGCATTACGGTTCACGTGATTCAATAAAGTTGAAGACTTGTGATGTCATGATTCCTTTAGTTGTTCTAATGGGCAGGCTTTGGTGAAATTGGCAGAAGAAAACACCAAATCTGTTATTCCCGAAGGTTCAAGAAAGATTAATGGGAAGTACATTCAATCCCACCTTCTTTCCCGTTTAGAAGGTAACTTGCTCTAGATTGATTGATTTATTCCTCTTGAGTGAGGAGTGAGGAGTGATAACGGGAGAAAGGACGACCACTTAATAGTTGGTGATTCAGAGTGGAAACCTAAGGAAGAACATTGGTTGGCTCTTGGCATTTGGGGATAGAAATAGGCTGTACTTGGTAAATGTTGGTAGTGATTACCTCGAGTACATAAAATTCCTGGGCATCCGCCATTTGGAGTCAATACGGTTTTCATGCAATGACTGGGATTCTTGAGTGAGAGATTATTTCTGATATCCTGTACATGTGTTTTTCCTTCTGTTTCATTTCTGAACTTTGGTATTTGGAACTGGGATAAACATTGGCAAGATATTTGGGTGGGGAGCCATGTTTAATTTCAAAATTGTTGTTTCCCAACTTATATCGAAGTTCTTTGAATTGTAACGCCGTCATCTTGTTGTTTCCATGCTTGTAAACATTCCATGTGTTCTGACAAAAGTACTGCATGTGTGAAGCTGTACATGAAAAGTTGAAGGAACAGATAAAGGACGTTGGTGCTGCACAATCCAAGGAGGTTCCCCTATTCTGGTGTGGCATGGCTGAGGTACTTAAAACCATATACTTGTGTAATTCCTTTTCCTCTACCAAAGGAGTGTGGTAATGATTGGCGACTCTCTGGAAAACAATGATATGGTTCAATCCGTCGCAAAGAAAATGATGACAGAGTGTTTGTCTTGATAACAGAGTGTGCAAGTTATGGGCACTTTTGATGGATGGAGTCAAGGAGAGGATTTATCTCCGGAGTACACTGGTTCTTTCACCACATTCTCGACAACATTGATGCTGAGACCTGGAAAGTATGTAATCGATCACACAACTATTCCTCCTCTTCCTCCCTTTCTTCACTCTGACCCGTAGGTTTATTTTCGAAGGTACGAAATCAAGTTCTTGGTTGATGGGGAATGGAAGCTATCACCAGAATTCCCTACGGTTGGTGAGGGATTAACAACAAATAACTTGTTAATTGTGGAGTAGGTCAAGGTCTACAGTCATGGGATAATATATGTATCAAACAACTGGAATTACTGATTTAGTATGCTATTCTCTCATTAGCCTTTTTTAAGGTCCTTAATTGTGCTTCTGATGTAGAGAAAAACCTAGCATTTTAGTGAATACATAATCAGTATGATGTGTATTTTTACTATTGTATGTTTGGTACTGTATCAGATCAAGAGCCTGGATAAGTTGCATGTTTGGTCTTCTACAAGATAAAGAGGTTATTGAATGAAACCACCAAGGCCGTCGTGATTTCTTTGGGGTAGTGATTTTCACACTTGCGTTTTATCCATTTAATTCAATTGCACTCATTGTTGGACTAGAACGATTGAATAAACAAAAAGAGAATTAAAACATAAACACTGAAAGGAGCGTAAACGAACAAACTGAATGTGGAAAGTTGATGCAAGAAGAAGCTTTAACAAAACGAAGTAAAAGTGTGGAAGGGACTGAGTGTTCCCAACGTTCGCCTTCCAGTAAACATTCCAACTTGCTACTCCTCCGGCTGAACTGGTACTGGTTATTCATCGCCATGGAGGCTGTGGCGACCCTGTTAGGGGTGTAGCAAGCCCCCCCCCCCCGGCATGTACAGGGAGCAGCTAAATCGGGACAGCACATCCGGGAGGCAGTAACGCGGTATGTTGTTCTCCAATTGCTCTTCCGGAGTGGACGCGTTGGATGGAAGATCAATGCACAACGTTCTCTGCATAATTGTGAACTCAGTTGTTAGTTTAAGGGTGCCTTGGCCCCTTGAGTAGGCCTTTAGACTCTTCTAAACGAGTTGGTTGGTTTCAGGCGTGTCACTATTGGCCAAGACCAACAGATTAATTGATTGTTTTTGTGAGCGATAATAAATTAGTTGCAGTCCCGTTTCCTCAATTACATTTCTATGTATAAAAAAAAAAAAAAGTTAAACAGTTCTGGGCCTAAATATGTTGAACTTTCAGAAATGGGCTCACTCAATCAAGGAGACCTTACCAGCCCACAACACATCAAAACGACGTCGTCAAGATACAACCCGGTGAAACCCTAGGTCATAAAATCCCCACTCGCATCGCTCCCCAATTCAGTCTCTCGTTTTCCCCAGCCGCTGTAATCCGAGCTCTCCTCTCTCCTCCCTTTTCCCGTCGCTGCAATCCAATCCCATGGTACGTCCGTATCCAATCATCTTCCAGATTGCCCACCATCCGTTTGCGTTAATGCCTCTGACAATCTTTCGTTTTTGATATTTCAGGCGCCGAAGAAGGACAAGGCACCGCCGCCGTCGTCGAAGCCGGCGAAGTCCGGCGGAGGCAAGCAGAAGAAGAAGAAGTGGAGCAAGGGAAAGCAGAAGGAGAAGGTGAACAACATGGTGCTCTTCGACCAGGGAACCTACGACAAGCTCCTCACCGAGGCACCCAAGTACAAGCTCATCACACCGTCCATTCTCTCCGACCGTCTCAGGATCAACGGCTCGCTGGCAAGGAGGGCCATCAGGGAGTTGATGGCCAGAGGCTTGATCAGGATGGTCTCTGCTCACGCCAGCCAGCAGATCTACACCAGGGCTACCAACACCTAGGTCTCATGCTTTTCTTTTGATGAATTGTCGTTTCGGGTATTGTTACATGTCGTTTTAGACTATTTGGCGTCGATTTTGTTTAATCTACAGTCTTATGGAAACCTAGAGATTTTCTTGGCTTGATAATATATGCATCAACCAATGATTGCTTCTTATTTATTTAAATTGATCTTTTACTTGAATTTCATTGCTATATATGCTGATTTTTCACTTGAATCATGATGAATTATAATGCTTTTCGGGTAGTCTCAATCGAAAATGTCTTATGTTTTCTTGGTTGGTAGGATCCTCTACTGCCCGTTTGCATTGTTTTGCGGTTGTTCTTATATTTGTAATGCTTAGGGTTTGAGGCTTGAAACAGCATTGCTTTTTGTTTTGAGAACAAATGTCGTTCTGGTAACTAATGTTAAAAATCCCATATCCGTGGAAATGATCATCTGCAGATGGTGTTCTTTTAGTTGCATATAATGTTTCCCACTTTTCGACTTTGACACAAGCTTAATGCCAACACTAATTAGAGCGTCTGGACCGGGTGTCTTGTTAAATCTGGTTGTTATCGCTATACGAATTCTTACGAGTTGAATATGGATGGGTAGTAGAAGTTGGGTAGAATACTACTTCAAGTGCAGGTGTCCTCGCGCTGTTGATTTCGAAGAGAATCCTCTCCTGAGCTCAGGATGGGGATCCTTCTGACCAGGCCATCTGAGTCGTTCAAATTTAATCCAACAGTTGCAATTATTATAACTTTTAGAGGGTTAAATTTGAACTGCCCAGATGGGCTGGTTAGGAGGATCCCCATCTTGAGCTCAGGAGAGGATCCTCTTCCGTTGATTTCTTGTACAGTTGAATATGGCAGAAAATATGATCAGTATTATATCCATATAGGATTACTATTTAAGTGCTGATTAACGTGTTTATTTCTTATTAGTAACAAATCGTGTGGTTGAAAAATTTAGTCTATGTACTTATATATCCTCTGTCTAAAATCTATTTTCTGTTCCTCATTAATTTACATTTCGTAGAAGACCTTCGCTTTAATATGCATTTGGTTTTACGAAAAACAAACTATGATATATTTATTTTTTTCTGGACTACATACTAGAAATCGTTTAATGATATCTTTAGCATTTTCCTAAAATCTAGTTGTAAACTAGATTTGCTTAGAAACTGTAGGCTCTTAATGAAGATATTCATCGGAAACCCTAACTTGTCTACACAGCCTCTGGAGGTCTAGCGGTTGGGTCCTTGATTTGCTCCCAAGCGTTCTGGGGTTGGACTCTCACCCACGGTACCAATCTAACAAATGTTGTGGGGTCAAAAGTAGGGGGAGTAAAACTTTAAAAACATTAGTGAACAAAGTTTGCTTGTCAAAGTTATTTGAGTTTAGGGAAATTAACAACATAAGGCGATGGAACTCTATTACGTGAACAACGGTTAATAGGGGACACACTAGAATGAAACTTCCATATAAAGCTTTCGGATGACTTCGGAGCAATCACACATAATACGTGCTTATCTCCACGGTTGATAGGTGCTCGTGACAAAGGTCAAAATAATAACATATTAATTGCATTTTTAATATATTAATAATAAAATAATATTATCATATTGGCTAGATTATCGCCACTTCGATAAATTCCTTCCGCTTTTGCAATGACATCTTGTGAAGCTTTCAAATCTTTCCGCTTTTGCAATGACATCTTGTGAAGCTTTCAAATCTTTATGTAGATGTTTGTACATACTCGTCAGAGATTACTCGGTTTGGGATGTGCCTTGAATCATGTCGACAAATTGTGCATGACTTCTTCCACATGTGTTGCATCCTCATCTCATTTTCAGTGATTGGGTCATGAGTAACAAGCACCCAAGCCTCAATCAAAGCAAAGTCTTCTACGATCGATTAAATTGCCTTTTCACCTAAAAGAATTTGAAAAGTGGAAAACAAATATAGAAGATTGTAGTAAAAATGAATAGAGTTGTGATAGGGATATGAAGAAGATGGTTGGGTATTTATAAAATAATAATATAAAAAAAAATTTGTTTTTTTTTCTATTTTTCTATTTTAATTTTTTTTTACCGTTGTAATAATCTTGTCCGTTGATTTTCGAACTGATTTGAAATTGATGGCTAGAGTGTGCCACGTGTCAAACGGTAACATTTTATTTTTTTACTGTTAGAAATCCAATGGTCCATATCATCTGTCTGTTGGAAATCCAATGACCCTCTATTCACTGCATGTCCAAGTCGTTGATAAGCAGTCAGTGCTCTGCTGCAGCGGGGCCCATCGCTGCAGTTTTGTCGGCCCACTCTCCCTTCTTCGCGCTTGTATTACATGTGGCTAATAGAAAAAAAAAAAAAATCGTGGCTGACGTCAACACGGGGTTTTGGGGCGGGCATCGGTTGGGCCATCACTTGCCCTTGCTTTATTGGACTGTTGGGGAGAGTTTTAGGCTAGAGGGCAACATTGTTGTCTTTGCTCTTGGCTTCTACCTTGGCTTCTACCAACGGGTGGACATGCTCTAACTTCTTATACAATTTAATTATTTTGATCATAAAATTAAATAAATTAAAATAAAGTACATACATAATTAAACATAGATGTATAAAAGGCTAAAAATGTGTTTTTTTTTAATTATTTTCATTTTGGTTCTTTGCCCATTTTGCATGCCCTTGGTGGAAATGGTTGGCAAGCAAGAGTTGGGCTTTATTGAGGTTAAGTAGGGCTTGTTGCAAAGTTTAGCGCGGGGAAGGATAAGAATAAGTCTGAAAATTATGTAATGGGTTGATTTGGTATAAGATTCTTATAGACTTATGGGAAATGTTATTAATACCGTCGATAATATTTATTCTTGTACTTGAGGTCTTAAATTTGATCACTCCGTTCTATTCTCTTCTTTCTTCTCTAATCTATTTTGCTATAAAAAATGAGAAGGATTATACATGCGTTGGAGCATAGGAGACTCAAGAGTAGGATAAATTTTTTATTGTGCGGAGAACATGATTTGACACACTAATGTAAATATGATCTTGCATAACAAGTGTAATAATACAATTAATTAACTACTTGTATTATTATAGTTAGTGTTACTGAACCGTATTCTTGTACACTAAAAAATATCTCGAGGACTAAGAGAATCGGTCTCGATCCTAGACGTGTTGTTTCATTTATTTTTTCCTTTATTTATGGTATGAGACTTCATATCTTGTTTTTGGTAAGACTAAACATAAACATGTTTGCATGCTTCTTGAATGGATAATCAACCACCCAACTACCACGAAATGCTTCATTCCCTAGACTTTTTTTTTTTTTTTTCCGGAACAACCCTTGACTTTCTTTTTGCTATTATTGAAAGCAAAGAGACTATTTATTTTTATTTCTTTTTTATTTCTTTTTGGTAGAAGATACGCCAAACTCTGGTTTTATTTGTTTTCCATGCCAGACTGTTTAGAGGCCATCTTCCTCCTACCACAGTTTAGAGGGTCCATTGTCACAGAAAATAAAAGTGTGTCTGATTTACCAAGAGATAAAAAAAAAAAAAAAACCTGTATCTTTGAAATTTAATTAGTATTATTATATACAAAATTAAAGAGAGAAAGTAGAAGGATTGAGAAAAATTTGACATAAACCACATGCAGATCATAGTTTCTATCCTCTTACCCTGAATCTCTGCTTTGACTTCTTCCCAAATTCCACCAAAAAAATTATTATTCCTCACATTCTTGGCCCACCCACCATATCTTCCCCCCATTTCTCCTGTGTTTTCCCTCCAATATGCCAAAGTTTTGAGCTTTAATCTGTTTAATGTCAAGGATTTCTCTCAATCTGTGAGAACCCATCTGGGTAGATTTTGTTTAGTGGATTGTTTATGAAATATGTATTTCAATGATCTACTAATTTGTCTAACTTGGCTTTGTTTGATGCAGGGAAGAAATTGAGAAGAGCCCCCTTTTGTTTCAGATTAAAACATATTCTACTCTTCCTTTGCTGCCCTATATTTCAATCTGTAAGAACTAATTTGAATTATTTATTTCATTATCTGTTCTGATTTTTCCTTTAGTTTTTTATGAAATGGATATATTTTTAATTTAATGTGGAATTGGATGCAGAGGAACTGCTGATTGATTAAATGGGTGTCCTCAGAAGGTCGCACTTTTTCATGATTTGGGTCTGAATCATTTTTCATGATTTGGGTCTGAATCATTGGAGGATGGAGATGTCTACCCAGCAAGATAATTCTGTTCCCAACAAAGTCTCAGGTATAAATTTTATTTTTGGAATAAAAAGGCGACCCTAAGCCAATAAGGCTCCCCGCTTTGCGAGGGTTGGGCAACGTCTATCGTAAGTAACTTTACCTTTGCTTTGCAAATAGGTCATTTCGACTACCTTGAACCTGTGACCCTTCGGTTACCAAGGAGCATTGCGCCAAGTCTCGTCTTCAAATTTTATTTTTGGAATGATTTTTAATGTTTGAGAAAATTTGTCATGTAAATTCATTTATTGCTTTCATAAAAATTGAATGAGTTGGAAGGGAATAACATGATTCATGCTCCTAAAGAGGAGAATGTGTGTAAGGTTGAAGAGGATTTATGTGTTTAAATTTTAATGATCACTTGAGTGATTTTAACTGTAATTGTTAAAGAAAAGTAACTTTAGGATACTTTTTCTTGAATGAAACAGATGGTTTCGGTAAGGTCAACATCTTATTTGGGAAAATTTGCTTCTATTCCTCAGCATCTTGACGCTTATATATGGTTTTGATTTTCTTACTGTCAGCAGTTGTTGATATCAGCATTTCTACGATATAAAACTTGATGAATTTATTGCACTGTGTTGCACAAATGAATTATACTGGGGTTCATTAATGAAAGAACATGTTTCATGTATAGGGTCAGGTTCTTGCCTCTACGATCTCTTATGTTCAGACACACCGGTTTGGAGATGCCCTAGTGATCGACGTACATTATCTGGTACTTTTTACTTTTTACATCAAACACTTGTTTAGGAATCTGTTTGTGTTCTGACTTTGCCAATATTTTCCTCTTCTTGACATGCTAGTGTAGTTAGCTATTAGTGGCGTGTCACAATTCACTCAATCCATTTGAACTAGATGATACTCAAAAGTTTGTGATGTCAGCCTTTAATAAACAACATGAATTGCTCCAAGCAACATGTCAAATCTTGCCGGT